TGCGGCAGGAGTTGAGGGAGAGAAGGGGATAGCCCAGCGGAGGCGCAGGAGCCAGACTGCCCCGCGCGAGTCGCCCGCCCACCCGCGTAAGTCGTGTCCCGAAGTGACCCTTTGTCCAACGGCGTCCTCCGCCCGCTTCCCACCCGCGGACCCAGAGACTGAAAGGGGCGTGGAGCCCCCTGTGACCCGCCCACGGGACCGGGCGGGCGGGGAAATAGGCGTTGGAGAAAAGAAGATCACGGGATTTTTTGATTTTTGTCGCCTCTTAAACTCTCAAATCGGTTTTCTAGAAAAGGCTGTGAAGAAGCCAGGGTGCTGGCCGAAGATTACAGCTATCTGCTAAACCATCCCGTTTGAAGAATTCTTACTGTGCTTTTTAAAATAAAACGTTTTTGTGCTTCGGGAAAGTTTGCTCTTTTTGTATTTAAGTTTTAATTACTTAATGCTTGAAATTGAACACCCAAGGAGTTTTTAGGAGAGAGGATTTAACAAAATAGGCCCAGCCAATGCATCTGTCATTGTGGAAACGTGTATTGTGTCATGACACTTAAGGCACTTGTTTTCTATTTCTGTTAAAGTAAACCATCTTCGAATACACTGATGTTTTCTGTAAACATAAATAATTTCAACATGAATACATTTCAATTTTTTTGTATAGTGGGAATATCATGTATAATTTTCTCTGGGTCAACAAAACCGGATTTATTTACTAAATAGAATATCCGTCCTCAAAAATGTGTAGCGTAAGTTTAGCATTTTATTTAATTCTTAGATGTAATAACTGAGGCTAGGAACCAGGTTTTGAATTCTGATTTTGCTACTTACTGTGGGATCCTTGAGCAAGCCGTTTAAGCTTCACTGAGCCTCTGTTTCCTCATTTTGAAATGAAATAAAGTTTTCTGGAGTTGCTTGTAAGAATGAAATGAAATTATATAGGTAAAGAATGGGGAAAAATAATATTTCTTTATTATTTTTTCCCATTCTTTACCTATGTAAATATTATTTTTTCCCATTCTTTACCTATGTAATAAATATTTTTTCCTACTAGTATTTTTAATAAATTTTAGATAAAACACAAATAGCTTTCCTCAAAGAAAGTTAATTTTTCAATAATACACTATACTTCAAAACTTAGTTAAGAAATGTGCTGGAAAGGTTTTCAAGTAATATGTGGCCCACTCCCTTCTGTGAGAAAGAGTGCTGAGGAATAAGCAAAACCTATATTGTGTTTTAGGTTTAGTCTCAGAAAATGTTTCCTTTTTTTTTTTTTTTTTAACTTCATTGGAAAAGCAGAGTGGATTGCTGTCGAAGGTAGTCTCTTTGTGTTGTTTTTTTTTAATTTATTTTTTAGTTGTAGATGGACACAATACATTTATTTATTTGTTTGTTTATTTTTACAGGCAAGCTAGGCAAGGGCTCTACCACTGGGCCACAACCCCAGCCCATCTATTAGGATTTGATTTGGAATAGGAAAGAAGAAGAAAAAAAAAAGTCCACTTTAAGTTCATTTGCATTTGAAGTGATTAGCATTAAATATAGTTCATGAACTACAAATCRAAGACTTGTTCTTTGACCTTCCAAAATGATCTAAAATATTTTAAGGGTCTTACCATCCATACAGACATAGGAGTTTACATATTAGATTGTTTGGAACAGACTGTGTTGTGAAGCAATTTGACACTGAGAGATTCCTTTTAACACCATATAGCAAGAAATCTTTTGTCAGGAGAGCATTGTAAGTTTAAATTTACCTGGGATCTTCACCTTATTTAATTAGTACTCTAAGTTCTTTAGTTCACTAGCTMCAAGTTCAGTATTTGAATAAATAAAATGCTTTTAAGGTTCATGCACCTTACTTTGTAGTTTAACTAAAAGCCAGATAAGGGTAGATTTCACAATTCTGACTCCTTTCTCAAAGAATGAGCTTATATTAGTCTGTTTTCATGGTGGCTAAGGAAATTGAGTTTGGGAAAGAATGAATGACTTGCTTATGGCTATACAGCTGGTTTATGGCAAAGAAAAGAACTTGGGTCTCCTGATGTTTACACTGTATATATAAGTAATGCATTTCTTTTTATGGAGTTGCTCATATATTGGAATAATAATTATTTTTTATATTAAAGTATAAGGAAATTTAATTATAAGAAACAGCAAAAAGGCTTAGGATACCTAGTAATAGTGTGGTCATAAGACACCATTGTATTTTTGGCTCAGCTTATATGGATAGTAAAGCCCATTTTCAGTAAATGAAGTACAATTAAATACCCTTTATTTTTAAATTTTATTTTTTATTTTTTTACCTTACTATATTACCTTCACCTTGTGCTTTTAAGCATCCTGCAAAGGCCTGTGWGCTAATGGCTTGGTAGCGGTCTGTGGCATTATTCCTAAGGTGGAACATTGGGGAGGTGAACCTAATGGAAGGAAGTTAGATAATTGGGGATATGTCCTTGAAAGGGATATTGGGACTCTTGGGATTCTACCCCTTCCTCTCTGACTTCCCAGCCACCATGAGATAAATACTTACATTATGTGATCCTGCCTTGAGATACTGTGCCAGAGGCCCAAAGTGATAGGGCTAAGTGATCATGGGCTGAAACTATGAGCCAAAATAAAATTTCTTTTTAATTAGTTGATAATCTCAAGTATTTTGTGATGGTATTAGTTGACAGTTAAGTAGTTATGATTCTAATTTTWAAAATGATAGACTTATTTTATCTCTGTTGATCCTTTTGAAAGACTTCCCAAAAGGTACATGGAGAAGTGAAAGAGCAGTTTTTCATCAATGGACTTATATATAAGATTCAAAACACTGTATTCCTTCATAAACAGAGGGAAATTTATTCTTTCTACTTCTCATAAATCCATGCTTATACTTCTTTTGTGCTCTAACACTATGTTAACTATGACCTTCAGGAAGAATAAGACAAGACTTTTTTTTTCTGTATTCTGCTTTATATTTGAAGTCTTAAACTTTTTCTATTTTTAGAGTATAAACTTGGAGATACTCTGTAACTAGGTATTCAAAAGAGAAGCATAATCAAGTTTTACGCTGGGCAAGAAGATGCTCTATTCTTTTAAAAACCTAAGTTGTTTTTTAAGTTGGGTAAACAAATTTGCTGAAAATGCCCTGTTGCTATTTTATGATYATGAAAATTAAACTTGCTCAAAGGCCTTGAAGAGCTATGTGGAGAAAACATTCCATAATTCCTTTTCAAACATTCTAATTCTAATATCATTCTGTTAATTTCTATCAAACCCTCTTTCATCTAAAATGCCCTTATAAATCTTGGGGGAAATCCCAAATCAAGAAAAGTGTGTAATTTTGTCTATACTAGGATCTGTATGGAAAATAGACTAATTCCTCAATTGTTCCTACCAAGTCTAAGGAACCTAAATGTATGTAGGCTCTAGAGGGCCCTCGGGCATTTTAATCTATTTACCTAAAATCTATTTATCCTTTAAATGAATTAGAACTTAAATAAAGTTAAATTACCATTAGAAGTTTACAGGTTAACTATGACCTAGACAATGTAAAACTCTAAGAACATAGATATAATATGAATTTATCCTGAGCAGATAGACCTGACCCTTGATGATTTAAAAATCAAAAATTATGTCAATAAGTACTCCCATCATCTGACCTGAGGYTAACTATATTCTGATTTCTCTTTTTGCGCAGTAGAACTATCCCTCTCACTTTTGGCATTCTTTGAGCAATCAACTAGTCAAAAGAACTTTAGAGTTGCACATATGGTGTCCCACTACATCATGTACAATCAGAGAAATGAAAAGTTGTGCTGCAGTTGTGTACAATGAATCAAAATGCATTCTGCTGTCATATATACCTGATTAAAATAAATAAATAAATTTTTAAAATAATAACAAAAGGGGTAGGGATGTCACTCAGTATTAGAACACCTGGGTTCAATTCCCATTACTAGAAGACAAAATTTAAAAAAATGGTATCTAGTAGGATTTCAAAGGGCTGTAATCAGTACCAAATCAAAGGAGTTTTAAGTTTTGTTAGATTTACATAACTATTTTAATATAAGCCAATGAAGCCATACTTTGGAATCTTAAAAAAAGCTTCAGATGTGATGTTGGTATGATTAGTACATTCTTAAGGATGGAACCACTTTGATAATTTCTTTYTAAGATAATTTAGCTACTTTATTTTTCAATTTTTATTATATATTTGTTTTAAATTTTATAATTCATTATTTTAAATTGCAATAAGTACTCTGMGGACAAAACAGAAAATAATACACAAATGATGCTCATTATATAAAAAACAAGTATTTTCATCTGGACTGATTGTTACATACAGCCATTTGTATTTAATCTTTTCACTCCAAAAGTATATTTCTATGTTATGTAAAATACATTTAATATACAAGGTTAGACAGTCAATTTTTTAATAATTTGTTCTAGTTATACATGACAATAGAATGCATTTTCACATTCAACCTTAACTTTTGACTCCAGAGAAAATGAATTGTTTAGAATAGTAAAATATGTTTTTGCCAAAAGTTCATTACAAYGTAACTTACCAGTTTCCTTAATTATCCTCAACTTAGGATGGGGTTACATCCTGATAAAAGTTGAAAATAGAATACACTTAATACACTTAACCTACTGAATATTGTGACTTAGCAACACAGTACATTTTCAAGTATCAGCTATTTATCTTTATAATCTTGTGACTGACTGGGAAYTATAGCTTATTGATCCTGCCTAGCATTGCAAGAGAATATCAAACCATGTATTTCTAGCTGAGGAAAAGATCAAGATTCTAAATTTGAGGTACAGAATTGCTTTTGCATTGTTGTAAGTTGGAGGACCATCCATAGAATATATGCTCATTTCATTGCAATTACCAGTCTGTTCATTAGTGATTTTTTTTAATTGGAATAATAAGATTGTATATATTCCAAGATTTCTTTTGGAGTCTACTTTAAAGGTTTTATATTTTTCTTTTCACTTTTTGAACAAATCAGAGACCAGAAATACGTGGAATGCTATTTTAAATAAGCCAAAAGTGTATTATAAAATTAATTTAATACTGCTTAAATGAAGAGAGAGAAAAAGACAAGAAAAAATCCAGCTGTTCAGACATTGGTGAGTATGTCTCACAATCCAAGTCAGCCTTCCTCATCAGAGGTAAGAAAATAATGTCTATCATTGTTTTTGAAAAGTTGATAAAGCAAAAATGAATTATATAAAGTATTAGAAATTGATTCCACCAGAGTCCCAACTTCATGTATCCCATTAACTGATACTACTATTTCATCTTTAACTCACTTTCTCTAGTATTCTAAGTTGAAACCTACAATAAAGTGATTCTATCACCTTTTTTCCTCCACTATTCTATGATGCCCTCCATAGGCTTGAATTTCATACACAGTCTTGGTCATTCTTGGCTCACACTTTGACTCCTTGCCCCTCTCTTGTTCTATTCTACTCCTTTGCAAAATAACAACCTAGTTAATTCATTTCTCTACCTATTCTGCACCTATTCCTTAGTAACTAAACATGAATGGATGAAAATATACCAGCATAAGGACTATTTCCACTTTAAATTCATGACCAGTAGAATCTTTTGCTTTTAGACATTCATACCCTCTGTCAYTTATTCATTCACTCTTCTCTTCAACACAAGTGTTTCATACCTTCTCAAATCCCCAATACCTTTTCTCCATTCTCTCTTAAACCAACTTCAATCAAGCTTTCACCTTTCACAAAACTTTTCTTGCTAAAGTCACCTCTTCATTACTAAATCTAACCTTTTTAAAACTGGATTATCTCAGGATTCAGCTCTTTGTTCTATCTGCACTCATTACATGGTGGTCTCATCCAATCTAGTAAATTTAAATACCAACTTTATGGTAAGGATTTATATATTTTTATCGTCATCCCAGTCCTCTTTCCCAAACTTCAGATTCATGTCTACGTATATTCAACTGACTACTTGACATCTCTCTTTGGATGATCAATAGACATTTCAAATATAACATATCTGAAAGGGAATCTTTCCCTCTCCTGGAAACTTGCACTACCTGTGGCTATTCCCATCCCAGGTGATTGCAAATCTATTCTTTCATTATTTGAGCCCAAATGCCTTGGAATCACACTTGATTCTTCTTGCATACATGATTCCTACTTGAGTCTTTTCTCCCAAACTCTACATATACACAAAATTTGACTACTCACCTCTACTGCTAGCATATTAGTCTGTGTCACCATCCTCTTACACTTTAGTTACTCTAATAGTTTGATAATAAGTTCCCTTTTTTTGCCCCTTGCAGTCTATTTTGGCTATTATTGCTTTAACCTGCTATCAAATGTAGAAATACTTCACAGTAATTTGTGTCTCATAGTGTAATGCAATATGAAATATAAGTCACCATTTATAAAATACTCTTGCCTCGGATGGATAACTTGTGTCATTAGAAGGCTGTACCATTGACTATTTACAGGAGTTAAAGGGGTTGGAGAAATAAATGCCACCTTAAAGACAATGAGGTAAATTCATTCTATAAGATAATTGGCTCTATCACTTTAAAAAACKTATGTGACAGGGCTGGGGATGTGGCTAGGGATCTTATAGTTGCCTAGCATGTGCAAAGCTCTAGATTCCACCATCAGCACCACACACACAAAAAAAAAAAAAAAAAAAAGAAAGAAAGAAAGAAAGAAAAACAATCTCAATATTTTGAAGAATCAATTGAGATTTTTAAAAACATAACAACTAAATGCAATATGTTATCCTCAATTTAATTCTAGGTTGAAAAAACATTTTGTGGACAATTGGAGAAATTTTAGGTTTGATATTAGTCTACATTAAGGAATAGTTAATTTTCTTTATGTGAAAATGGTACTGTGACTRTATTAAAGAAGTCCTTACTTTTAGAAGATGGATACCAAAGTATGAATATGTCTAATTTACTTTAAATATTTTATTGAGAGAGAAAAAAGAATTAACAAGAAAAATGTTAACTTTTGAATCTAAATCATATTTTGATTATTTGAAAATTCATAATATTTTTACTTATGTATATAAAATATATGCATCAAATTTTTCATAAAAAATTATAAAATATGTCAGGTCTTGCCATGCTTCTATTAAAACCCTTCATTGGCTTCCTATCTTGTAAGGTAAAGACCTTTAAATGGCTCAGAGGCCCTACTTAATTTCTTCCSCTTACCTCCTTTTTTCTCTGACTTTTATCTCCTACTATTCTTTTCCCACTCTTTCTTCTTCATTTATACTGGTACTCATAATRGTCACCTTAAAGCCTTTGGTTTAGCCCTTCCTGGAACTCCATTTCTTCCCTTGACTAGTTCATTCTTTCCCTTAAATCTTTACTCAGTTTCCACCTTTTCCCTGAAATCTACTATAAATATTCTTTGTAAAACTGAAGGCTTCTATAACCCTTATCCTCCCAATTTTCCTTACCTTGCTCTTATTCTTTTTTCCTAGTAATTACCCCTCTCTTATACAGTATATAACTTATTAGTGCTTTGTATTTATTGATTATTGTCTATATCACTCACAGAACCAGGACTAGTCTGAGGCAAATGAAATACTTGCTGTGGGTGAAAAATTTAAGGGAGCATCAAAAATTCAGTAAATCAAGATAAACATTTTAATACAATATTTTTTAAGTTAAATTTATTTCAAAAAATTCGTGGTGAACAAGATATTGATATTTTAAATAGACACAATCCAACAGTACTATGCATAGCAACTTTGAAGTCTAAAATTTAAAAAAAAAATGAACCCTACACATGTATATACCTTCTAATTACTTAAATAGTTAATGATTTTAATAAAAATATTATTGATGAGTTGCTTCTAGAAAGCCAAGAACATAAAATTATAATAAATTATGGTTTGGGTATAAATAAAATATTTAACCTTAAAATATATAAACTTTTAAAACTTGCAGTATTTTTCAACTACTTTGTTGTTATAGAAATATAGCACTCTTATAATATTGCTATAATGTTTATAATACAATGTTATAATTACTATAATATTGCTATAATGTTATTGTTATAGTAAACTCATTGAAGTATTATTTAGAAATATATATATATAAATGTTTAGTTCAAGAAATATTTTTCTCCTGTGACATATTAAAACATTTATATAAAAATAAAATCATATTTACTTCAAACTTGTTAAGGTTTTGCAGATACTTAATAGTATAGATAGGGAATAATCTTTCACATACTCTGCAGTTCAAAATGCAAAATGTGGCAAATTTTATTATCTGATCTATGCAAACATTTGAATTGTTGGTTTATTTTTTATATATCAAAAATATAGAAGTAATTACTTGGTAAAACTTGAGCAAAACCTTTAGTTCAAGGACCATTTTATGTCTAATAAAAATGACTAATATTAATAATAATAGGTCATATTAAAACTTTTAAAGTTTTCTCAGATATTTAATATTGCAGTTAAAGTAAAATGATTTCAAGGCTTTCACGTTTAATATGCAGTGAGTATTCAACCTTCCTTAGACTAAAAAAATTGAGACTGCAGTAATTGTTTCTGTTCTAGCCATCTAACTATTCTAAACAGAAGATTTCTAATTAGAGCCATAACAAAACATTAACAGAGAATTAGTTTTATACAAGCACAGACAAGTTTACAGTCATCCCCTACATCAAGAATAGATTCTTCCTGGAACTCTGGGAAGCAAATATGTTCCTGACAAACCACAGTATGAACCCTTTTGTAGGTGCTAAAAGCAAAGGATTGTACAAGGTCACTCTAGTGGAACTGATAAGAGAGAAGTCAGGGAGAGATAAAGATTGGTGATCAGAAAATTGATCTTTACCATATRGTATTCTTACTACAGGCCACAGACAAAAACACCATTCATCAAGGATATTGAGGTACTCTAGAAGCCAAGCCACATCTATTACAGTGTTTCCAAAGGAAATGTACTCCAGCTGGGGTTGTGGCTCAGTGGTAGAGTGCTTGCCTGGCATGTATGAAGCTCTAGATTTGATCCTCAGCATTACATACAAATAAATAGATAAAATAAAGGTATCGTGTCCATCTACAGCTTAAAAAAACATTAAAAATCCATAATGACCCAATTATACAATATTATCTGTCTGCTTTGAGCTCCTAGCACTGTGACTGGTATCTACTATGGGACTTAAATATAAATTTAATAAAAGGAAAGAAATGTACTCCAAACGAATATTTTGGGGTTCTTCATTTTGTTTGTGGGTTATTTTTGTTTTGTTTTATTTTGTTTTGTCTGTATGTTCAGAGGGATACATTATTCCATGTTTATTTTAGTTGTGTTTATTAAACTTAAAATTCTATAGGAGATCAATTGGGTTTTTTTTCAATTTTACAAACATTTTAACTGATATTCTTCTCATTCAGTTGGTGGAACTTCATGTTTTTTATGTCCCTGAAGGATCGTGGAACTATAAGTTAAATACTATTTCAATAGAAGTTATTAACAAATTTATTTCTGCTGGATTTATAAGGCAAGTATTTTGTGCATGTAACAAAATACCTAAAAAATATTTTTTTCTGCAGAGAAAAATATTTCMTAGAAATTTAAAAATTGTAAATGAAAAACATTTTGCCTATGTCATGGACCCATTCCTAATTTAATGAATATTGACAAACAGTACTATGTAGTAGTTAAATCAAACATAGCTGTAGGAATAGATGTCATTTGACCATAATATGCCACCCAGAGAATAGTGTATAATGTGTAAGAATTAAGGAACAAATTATCTAAAATTAAAAATCTGATGAAGAGCTGTGAATAATGGTTACAGCAATATATCCACTGTTATTTTCTTAGAATTCTTTATAAATATATGCAAAAGACTTGCATATGCAAGACCCTGAGTTCAATCCCTAGCATGGCAAAAAATAAAAATATAAACAAAGAACATAATTAAATGTATATACATATATTTATTTATTTATATATTTATATGTGTATATGTGTATTTTCAAATTCACAGAAACATGACACATGATCTGACCTCTTATTGTTAACGTCGCCTAGTTGAGTGCCTTTCTTCTTTATTTCCTCATCACTTTTCCAATCCTATTAGTTTCCTTTCTGTTCTAGAGCACATCAGAAATGGCCCTACCTCAAGACTCTTGTACTTTCTGTTCCTTTTGTCTAGAATACATTTTCTGCCCTTACCCTCTTATCTCATTCAGGTCTGTACCCAAATATGACTTGTTTGTGTATATATTCTTTGATCATTGTATTTTAAATAACAGCTACAGTCTCTTTTCCTTTTCCCTGCTTTACTTACTTAGCAGTGTCTTATCAATTATGTTTTTTACTGTGTATTTTGCTATTTTTCTTTCCCACCACTAGATTATAAAAGCTATGAGGGCATACATTTTTGTATGTTTTGTTGATTGCTGTTCTCTCATCCATTGGAACAATGTGACACATAATAGGTGCACAATAAATATTTGTTGATCAAACAATTGTTCATTGAATGAATTCTCTAATATTTCCCATAATATATCTTTAAAAAAACAAGTACTTAGAACAATGACATAATATTGTCTTTAAATTTTAGACATTGAGAAAAGATCCCTAATGGGCAAATATAGTAGAATCTGACCACATTTGATCATTAAACACATTTTAAGCACTAGATACTGTTAAACTTCCAAAATAAATATCTATGCCTAARTCACTCTTTAATATATATGTAAAAACATAGATTACACGGAAATTTTGTTTTAGTCATAAAATTTGGAAGTGGAATAGCAAAATAGACAAACATTTTCCTTTTCAGTATTAAAATGACTTTTATAAATAGTATTCATTTACATAATTTTAGAAGATAGACTTAATYGTTTACTTTGAAAAATATTTGCTAAAGATTATAAAGTGCTAAGCAATGTAGAAATGTAATATAGTAAGCTCTGTCTGATAATTAAATCAACATTTATGTTTGAGATAACTAACATTATTGAACCATTAATATATCCAAACTCTTTCTTTCTACCTCATATAAGGCAATTTTATTACATTTCAGAGTATCTCCTCAACTTACTTTACAAGCCCTGAGGTTGCGCCTTGGTGAGTTCCTTGGTGAAGATGCTGTTGCAGAAAAATTTTTATTCCTGAAATGCATTGGAAATAATTTAGCTGTGGTAAGAGTTCTTATTTTTTCCTTCTGATTAAAGAAAAAGCATTCATTATCAAATTATGTATCTTAAATGCTTGTGAACTCAGCTTCTTAACATACTGTAAGATGTAATCTTAATCATAAAATATCACTAAGCACATAGATCATGAAAAATAGATCTCTTTGGCATGTTACCAGGCACTAAAATGGTGGGATGTGTCAATTTCCTTGAAAAGGAAGACAAAGTTAACTAATAATATCAATAATATATATTGTTTTTAAGCAAAATGTTTTTAAAAAGTACTTGTGTTGTAGCGAAAACAGAGTTCTTTTTTATTTGGGTCACAACTAGCCTTATTGGTTTTAAAATGATAATGTCCCCAATATATTTTTTGGTGTCAGCTATTACCTACTGAACACTTCTATTGGTAGTTTCTGTAATCTGATGGCAGGATATTCTAAGGGAGGACATTTTAGCTAAAATTTCCAATCTGTCAAGCCATCAGACATCAAAGTTTCTGATTTTTCCTGTCTATATATAAGGTTTATTTCTTTAATCAAAATTGTCAACATTTAAACTTCAAAATGTAGTGTATTCGTATGCCACTCAAGTTAACATATTATGTCACTGCCAGGTGTTCATTGATGTGATTATTTAATATTTAACTCTTATCATTAGATTTTAGTCCTTTGTGAGCAGGGACTTTATTTACCATTGTATTTATAACCAGTGCCCAACAAAGGTTTAAATCTTTATCAAACAAATTAAGTAATGAATGATAATGGATAATAAATCTCTCCCACCCGAAGTACTATTATAATTTGCAATGTAGGATTCCTAGATCAGTAGATAAATTTAAAAATGTTTTTGTTCTATTTAGTATGCCATAATATTAATTTACTGATTGTTAAATTAGTTCTCAGAGAAGAAAGGGAACATAATTTTTTGTTCTTTTTTTATTATATGTAAATTTATAAAATATCAACCACAGAATCCCAAGCTGGGAACTTAAACATAACTTAGATCAACTTCTAAAATCCTTCTAATATTTTMTTTTAAACAAATATTTATTGATATTTTATTTTCTAGAAAATGGATATGAATTCTTCCCTTAAAGTATGTTCAGTGTAATGGTAAAATAAGTGGTGAAGGTAAAATATTATCTATAGTCACAAAAAAGAAAAAAGATTTTTTTCAGCAGAAGAAAGCAGAGTAGAGAAATTTGAGGAAGAAGCAATATATAAATTTGGATTTTGAAAGAAATATTTGGTCTTGTAAAAATGAAGTGTGTGAATGGCTTTCTGAGCAGAGAAAATAAGATGAGCATGGAAGTAGGAAAGCAGGCAACTAAGAAAGAATTGATTCATTTCATTAAACATTAACTGTGGGAAAGGGAATAGTGCCCGGCACAAAGTGACTCCATGTAAGATAGCCATAATTATTATTATTAAGTGATATAGAATTCTTATCATGTTTAGTGTGCAGTGAGAAAAGTTATGAAGTACTTTGTTGAATATCTTGAATGCCAGACTAATAGTTTGAATTTTTTTTTCTGAAATCTTGAGTTTTTCAGCAATAGAGTTACATGAGGGCTGGGGTTGTGGCTAAGGGGTAGAGTGCTCACCTAGCACACAGGTGAGGCACTGGGTTCGATCCTCAGCACCACATAAAAATAAATAAATAAAAATAAAGGCATTGTGTCTACCTACAACTAACAAAATGCTTTAAAAAAATAGAGTGACATAATGAGAGCTTTCAGTACAATAATTGGGTCTCACTGAGAAGTAACAAGAGACTAGAGACAGGGATTCCAGCAAGGAGGCTTTTACAGTGGTTCAGGCACGAGATAAAGAAAAACTAAGACTACCTCTCAGATTTCATCTACTACCATCTTCTCCTTGGTTCTACATACTTCAGCTCCAAACATCTTACTTTGGTCCTTACATATAACAGACATCTCTGATTTACCGTCCTTGCATTTACCTTGCAATCACTTTCCCTGAGTTTTGGATAGCTGGCTGCTCTTTGTAATTTGTTCGAGCTCAAATACATAATCTTTTCAAAAGGACTTTTCTTGATCATCCAGTTTTTAGAACTTTTTTTCTCCAACTTACTCTTTATTACATCACTCTGTTTTATTCTCATGAATCACATATCACAATCCTAAATTGTTTTTTTTAATTTAATATCTGCTTTCACAAGTAGAATGTGAGGTCTATGAGAGCAGTAACTTTGTCTTATTTATCATTGTATCCTCACCAAGTAGAACACCTGACATTTGGTATATCTTCAATATCTGCTAAAATAAATAAATTGAAAGCAAACTCTAGGGGTAGACTTTATGGGAAATAAGTCTACAAAATTGGACTCTGGAGTGATTACCAGGTTTTGAATCCTAACTTGGAAACTTCTATTTATAAAATCTTGGGCAAGTTACTTAATTTCTTTTTGCTTCAGTCTCCTCTGTTAACTGTAAGTAATGTTAGTGCCTATCACATGAGCTAACATATGCAATAACATAAAACAGTGCCCGGCACAAAGTGACTCCATGTAAGATAGCCATAATTATTCTTATTAAGTGACATAGAATTCCTATTATGTTGGGTGTACAGTGAGTAGAAAGAGAATTAAATTCTACATTTTTCTAAAATATAGCCATAGCTATTAGTTTTTAAATTTGATTTATATCATACAGATATATGCCTTTTACAAAAAAAGTGGAGGTAAAAATAATTGGAAAATTTCACAAAAGCTCTTATTTTTTTCTCATCTATTTGTTTCTAGGTGAAAGAAAAGCAAGAACCAGAACTGAAACTCAGATCATTTGCTCCTCCATACGTATGTAATGTGACATTTTAAACTGATGCTAATTTTAATTGGTTTTTTAATTATAAACTAATTTTTCAAATTTCCTATATGTTTTAGGCTCTTCAACCAGAATTATATTTGCTTCCTGTAATGGACCATTTAGGAAATGTTTATTCAGCATCATCATCAGTTACTTTAGATGGGCAGCAGACTAATAGTGATATTGCTGAAATTGATGGAACAATCCATAGACCAGTTAGTGAAACTTTATCAAAGGAAGAACTTGGAAAGGATCCCAATTTCTTAGAAAACACTTTGAAAGACCTTATTAACACGAATCAGGAAGAAGGTGATTTCAATTAAAATGGGAACAACAAAGAGGTTATTTTAAGTCCATGTGTTTTCCAAAGTGGTTGTACCTCAGTATCTTAGTACATAATTCAGGACCACAGTGTAAATTAAAATACCACTCAAAGCTTTATGGAGAGTAATTGCCCACTTCAATAGCCACTTGACCATATACTCTGTTCAGGAATACTGGGACTCTACTTTGGATATTTGTTTCCAAGATATCATTTTCTTGAGCCTTTAAATGACGTGTTCAGACAAAGAAGAAGGTAAAGATTCTCACTGAGCATCTCACTGGCATCAATAAACAGTAAATATTAGTGTGCCTAAGATTAAAGAAAGTGCCAAGTTTGAAACATCATCAAGTCCTAAACTTCCTATTGAACCATAATCTTGCCATTATATCAGATATTTTATATCTCCTTGTTTCTGTGCTCCACATTCTGAATAATTTCTTTAGATTTGTTTACTATTTTTTAGGTATTTAAAAATATCTCTATAAATCTTCTGGCTTGCATAATTTCAGATGATAGGTCTACTGTATTTTTATTTTTATTTCTTTTTTTCCCTCTGCTGTCTTTAAGATTTTACTTTGATTTTCAGCAGTATGATTATATATATATATGTGTGTGTGTGTGTGTGTGTGTGTGTGTGTGTGTGTATGTGTATATATATATATATAATTAAAGTACTATATATATATATATAGTACTTTAATTTTATTCAAATCTTGATTGGGGTTCTCTTCATTTTGCTTTTACTGTTACAAAGATCAACAGATACATGTCCTATACTCTTACCAAAATGTACCTTGATATCTATTGAGTTTTGTATCATTGTTTATTTTGATGGGGCATGGAGAGAGAGTAGTAGGTATATCCATTTTTTATTTATTTAGCATTGAATAAATCTTTTATAAAAAATTCTKTTCATTAGACTAAATAATTTTGGCAATGCCTGCTAGGAAATAAATGATAGTGGTCAAACTGAATTAAATGAATGTGGGCTTCAGGTTGCAAAATAGTTTGACAACCTTTGCAAAATGACTTTTCAAATATTAATTTGACATTTTTTTCTAAATTAAAAAATTATTTCTGGGGGGGGTGGAAATCTACATGAATGCTGCTAAGTTCATGGATCTTATGTTAATGTATAGATCATGTGGTACATTAATGTTAATGATTTAAAAACAACTCAAATGGAAAATGCTATTGAAATGAAGGGAGATTCTATAAATGAAAATTTATGTGATATTTTATGCTCTTTATTTATACAAACATTTTCCAGGAAAAGAGTTCCTCAGAAGACTATTTCAAAAGATGCTTTTGGTAAAAGCTGTCTTTTTTTTTTTTTTTTTTAAGAAATACATGACAGTAGAGTGTATTTTGACCTATGATACATACGTGGAGTACAACCTATTCCAGTTAGGGTCCCATTCTTTTGGGTATACATAATGTGGAGTTATACTTGTCATGTATTCACATATGAACAAAGGAAACTTATAACCAGTTCATTCTACTGTCATTTCTATTCCCATCCCCTCTTCCTTCCCTTCATTCCCCTTTGTCTAATACAGTGAACTTATATTCTTCCCCTCCCTACCTTCCCTTGTTGTGGGTTAGCATCCACATACTAGAGAGAACATTTGGCATTTGGTTTTTTGGTATTGGCTTATTTCACTTAGCATGATGGTCTCCTGTTCCATCCAATTACAGGCAAATGCCACAATTTCATTCTTCTTTATGGCTGAATAATATCCCATTGTATATGTATATCATATTTTCTTTATACATTCATCTGTTGAAGGGCAATGAGGCTGGTTCCATAGCTTTGCTATTGTGAATTGAGGTKCTATAAACATTGATGTGGCTGCATCCCTGTAGTATGCTTATTTTAAGTCCTTTCAGTACAGGCTGAAGAGTGGGATAAATGGTGATCCCATTCCAAGTTTCCTGAGGAATCTCCATGTTGCTTTCTACAGTGGTTGYACCAATTTGCAGTCCTACCAGCAATTTATGAGTGAATCTTTTCCCTCACATCCTTACCATCATTTATTGTTACTTGTATTCATGATAATTGCCATTCTGACTGGAGTGAGATGAAATCTCAGTGTAGTTTTAATTTGCCTTTCTATAGAAATACAAATGGTTAAAAGTATCTTGAAGACAAAGTTTGGGTAGAGCCCACTTTACTTCCTCTCTCAGAATCATGTTGCTCATAGAGAACTTCTGCAATACAGTTGCTTTTGTGTGTGTATAAGGGAGTTGTGTGCCTGTTTAGTGTTGTTTAATTCATTGTCTCCCAAACTGAGCTGAACAAAGAATTTTCTTTTCACATAAAGTAATGTTTCATGAAAATCACTTTGTAAATTGTTACCTTTTATCTATATAGTAAAGTTCATGAGGAATATGAAATATAGGACATGATTGTAATATATACATAGAAAATTTTATTTTAGTATTTTCTGAATATTCTGAACTTTTTTTTATCATGCATGCACATCAACATCAGCTGAGGAAATAGCTACTCCTAAAGAAAGCCCAATTGTAAAATATCACATTGGAAATTCTGAGTTACCAGGATCATTGGAAAATTCAAATGATTATTTTACCAACAAAAAAAGGTGATTAGTACAGATGCTGATTTCACATGTTATAATCTAAACTATAAGAAAAAGAATGTGATGTCCAGACTACTGATATAAAAACTTAATTGGAACAAAGATATGATTGATACTATTGATCTTTAATTATAATTACCTTGATTCTCATATTTATTGTTATATATGAATGTTCCTCTCCAATATAATGAGGGATTATTTATTAAGTTTATTGATGTTGTGGTCTTTTTGTCATCAGGGACAATTGATGACAGAAAAATTTCTCTTTGTTTTGCCTTTGTTTAGGACTAATTCTTCTACCTCTCTTAAGTTCTTGGCTACAGATAAACTAATCAGTATATTTGAGTTTTACATTGCCATCATTTCATTAAAAATTAGAGCACTTAGATAACAGTTTTGCTTATAGTCTTTTGAAATTTTGATGAGGGTTTTATTCACAAACTATAAAAATATATTTCTAAAATTTCCAGTTACTTTACTTTGTCAGAGACATTGGACTATGATTTGAATTTAGCTATGGTATAATGAAATATGATTTTATTAACTCATACTAAATGTAGTTTATGTTAATCATTAAGAGTTTGAGAGAAAATATGATAATAACTCCAGGCTTTGTTGTTTTAAAGTGATGGAATTTCAATATGTTTCCCCGGCTGGTACTAAACTCCTGGGCTTAAGTGATCCTCCTACCTCAACCTCCCAAGTAACTAGGACTACAGAAGCACACCTCCCACCCAGTTTTCAGGCTAATTTAAAATTTTTAATGTTATATTTGGGTTTATATACACCAAATAAAATATGTAAAATATTCATATGTGAATATGAAAGTTAATATTCATGGAATTATATTTTAATATGACTTTCAAATCTGTCCTWTTAAGTCAGTTTCTTTGGAAAAATGAAGAAGATACAACCAACAGTAGAAGACAGGACAGTCAGGTATGATTTTAAAATTTTGATTTAACTTCAGCATTATATCATAATATTTATACATATAGAAATTGAAATTATACTGAAGATTAAGATAAAATTTAAGTTTTCTGATTGTAATACCAGAAAATGTCTATTTTTCTAATATCAATACTGTCACTGGTAGTCCAGCTTTTGCTTTTGCTTTTATGCCTGAATGAGAGAGAGGATAAATTAGGTTATCCACCAAAGACTTTTTGGATTTTCATCTCAATTGTTTTTACTACTTTTAAGGTACACTGACCTTTACTTAACTGGCAACTTCGGGAGCTAAATTATAATATAATATGTTGATACCTGTCTTTGATTAATTCAGCTCTTTAGAACAGATTTCTCTAGTGTGTTTCTAGGAAGTGTTTCTAGGAAGTAGGTGGTTAGTACCAGTTACTAGCTCTATGGCCTTGGATATGTTATCTAATTTGAATAGTAATAGTTTAAAGGAGTTAACAAACGCTGTTCCACATCACCAGCTCATTCTCTAGAAATGGAGAAACAGGAAAATTTTGAAAATATTTGTAGGATTAATTTAGTTGCTAAAAATACTAGTTTTAATAATAGTTAACAATGAGTCCCAACTAACTGTCACTAAGTGTTTTACACATTTTGATTCATTTAATCCCCAAAACACCCTATGAGCCAGGTCATGATTATCATCTTCATTTTACAGATGAGGAAACTGAGGCACAGAGAGATTCAGTGGCTTGCTCAAATCATAAGTTCAGCTAGTAAATATTGGAAAGGGGATTRGAGGTGTCAGGGTCTAGGCTGGCTCTAGAATTCATCTTTTTATAATAACTCTAAATAATAATAACAATCTAGAAACAACTAATTATATAACGTTTATTGAGCTAACCACTGTTCTAAATGCTTTTCATATGTTAGTCCATTTAATTGAACAACTTTTAAGAAGGTTCTATTATCTACCTTTCAGATCAACAAACTAAATTTGTTACATTACATTAACTTTTCCATGGTTACAAGTCTTTCCTACTCATTCAGCAAAACCCCAACACTAGTTTACAAAACAACAAACCTCAAATGAGTCTTTAATTCTGCCATACACTATGTATTCCTGATCCATTGCTACTCTTCTAAACAACTCTGCCATATCTTCTCTCTTTTTAAAATTTCTTTAAATTAATTAATTTTACAGTAGAATGTATTTTGACMCATAGTACACAAATGGAGCACAACTTCTCATTCCTCTGGCTGTGCATGGTTCAGAGTCAGTGTAACCATATATCGTACTTCTCTTCAAACCATCAATACCTCCTTTCTTTTGCAACCTGTGATAATTTGTCCTTGCAAAAATAGGAGAAATTTGAAGAGAACCACAACATCTCAATGTACAGAGTGAAGTTGGAGTTGAGGTTTAGTTTTTCCTYAGATATCCAGTTCTTCTCCATGATTTGTTGATATTCTATTTTTCCTTTTGTGTTACTCAAAAAGCAACTGACCATAAATAAGGTCTTAGACAATTTCTGGTCTCCTTTTCTGTTCAGTGATCTTTTTTCTGTCTTACACCAGTAATACACCACCTTCATTACAGAGGCTTTATAGTAGTTTTTTGATATCATATAGCATAATACTTCCATATGAATTGGCTTCTTGCCTTCTGCCTAGTTCTAGTGATGGCCTCAAAGATAGTAATTTCAGTAATGGAAAAGTCATTCCAAGGGAGAAAACCTAGAACCTACTCCTTCAGTCTTTCTGTTGCACTTAATTTCCTTTATAAAATTCCTTCCTGCTTAAACTTGTGCTGAACTGATTCAGTATTTGATATAGAAAGTGAAATATGAGAAACAAACTCTTGAAAATGAGAATCYCAAACTTGTTATTAAAAAATAATTACAAAATTTTGCTAATTTGTGCTAGTAGAAATTTAGAATATTACTGGGAATAAATTAAGACCAGAAATGAAGGACTATAACTATTGATTGATGCAATTTTAAAAGAATGGGTATACTCATCAGAGATTCTGAATTTAATGTGCTAGCTTAAGCAGTTATGAGTGGTAAAAAATATTTTGCTAAATTGACAAACAGGTTGACAAGAACCTGGACTATATGATAACTAAGCTAAATAAATTTAGAATGCTAGAAATTTCTTGGAAAAATTAGAGCAAGAAATGCAAAGATGTCAGGAGATAGCAACTGGTTTTCATAGACTCCTTCATCCATTTAATCAAATGGTAAGGAATATATTGGAATAGCAAGCCTAGCGTTCTTAACAAAACCTTATAATGACAGTTTTATGTGGACTGAAATGAAGACAGGAGAATGTATTCCTTGGTTTCCTTAGAGATCACAGGATTTGAGTGGCTAATTTATACCATTTTACTTTACAATAAAAAGCTGATTATAAGGATGTTTGAGAAATCCTTAACAATAAAGATGCAAGGTATCCTTAATACTAATTGATCATGGTGTTCCTCAGAATTCAATGGGCAAGTGCATCAGTAAGTTCTTTATCTGTGTAATCAAAACTTATTTTATTTTAGCAAATGGAAATCTACCTGGAATAACCATATCCCCTTATTGATTTACCATTCTTCAACTAGTTTACATACCTAAAACCCTTTGAGTGAAAGAGAGGCCAGGTATTCTTCAGGAGAGACCCTATTGCCCAGCCACATGTAAAAATGGACTATAAATTTTCTCTTTTATCTGACATAAAGAGATTAGAGGCTGTTACTAGGGTAAATTCATTGGAGAAAATTAAGTACCCATACTTTTTGGATTAGTGAACAATGGTTTTAACTTGACTAAAATCTCTGGGACCTGAATACCTTTGTGTTCCACCAATAGCATGGATGCATAAAGGGGTCAGATAATAAATAAAGTTTTGGCTAAATCTACCTTATAGTGTGCCAAAAAGGTTTGCAAATCCTTGTAGTTGTTTCCTGGATTCCGAATGCATACTTTAAAAGGAGTTAGCAACTGACAGAATCCCCATAATGCCTCTCTGACGTTTGAGCATGGGCAATGAGGAACTTAAGACAGGGCCAAGTAAAATGTGATGGAACTGCCTTTTCCTTACCAAAATAACAAAGCAYTATCAGACTTCCAGAGGAACTGTAGAGTCTTGTGCCATAATCAAAACCTGAAAATAACCAAGTGTGGTGGCACACACCTATCATCCCAGTGGTTTGGGTGCTAGGTAGGAGGATTTCAAGTTCAAAGCCAACCTCAGCAAAAGTGAGGTGCTAAGCAACTCAGTGAGACCCTGTCTCTAAATAAAATACAAAATAGGGCTGGGGATGTGGCTCAGTGGTTGACTGCCCTTGAGTTCAATCCCCATTACCTACCACCCCCCAAAAAAAGAAAACTTGAAAATAGTAGAGAGGGTAATTCTTACCATAGCCACGTTCAACTCACCTCATTACTATGTGTAGATGATTGATGAGTCTTAGCCAACAGAAGGTGAAGTTGTAGCTACTACTCTTTACTATAACAAATTATCACAGCCTCATGCTCCTGTTATGCCACTCTGGATCTGGAAGATGTCTTCTTCTCCATCCCAGTTAAGAGAGAAAACCAAAAGTAATTTTCTTTCAACAAGTAAAAACAGAAGGAGACCTTCATTTTTTTTGCCTAAGGCTGTCTGTCAATCTAGTTCATAAGGAATTGATCCCCTTTGGACCTGGTAAGCAGGAAATAACGAAAAATACTCTATATATCTTAGGTGAGACAATGTTTATTAGAGGGTGGATATAAGCCTCTAGAAAATTCAGGAGCTTGAAGGACAAAAGATAGCAGATTAGAGGAAGGTTACATTTCCAGTTGCTCTGTGCTCAGGATTCAAGCAATGGGAGAATTCTCAGAGAGGTGAGTGAAAGAGGGATTTCACTAAAATTCATTACCGAACAGTCAAGAGTTTCTTAGAGACTGATAAATTCAGGTGCATTGAACAACAACAACAACAACAAAAAAAAAAAAAAAACAAGAATGACTACACTGGAGCCAAGCCAGTTGCTGCAGTGGCAATGGCAGCAGCAGTGGTGGTGGTGCTAGTTTATCACAGAATGAAAAGATAACACACTGAGAAAAACGTAACAGAAAAAAATTGGCACAGAAACCTATAGATCAGAAAAGCAGCCTAAATTTAGCTGATCCAGACTGCACAACAAACTGGTGTTTGAAAAGTGCTCTATATTTCTCAACTAGCCAGTGGAGATTAGCAGGAACCATTTGAGGAGGTCATGCTGCAGCTTGTTGTTGTCAAGCCTGTAAGATCATAGCCAGCGTTGATTGAGAAATCGTCATAGACATCACAGAAATCCAGAGGATCATTATGGACTATTTTGAAAACTTATACTCCAGTAAATTGGAAAACCTAGACGAAATGGATACATTTTTAAACACATATGACCTACCAAAACTGAATCAAGAGGAAATAGAAAAAAATCTAAACATACCAATAACTAGCAATAAAATAGAAGCACTATCTTCCAAAAAAGAAAAACCCAGGACCAGATGGATTCTCAGCTAAAGTCTACCAGAACTTTAAAGAAGACAATGCTTCTCAAATTATTCCATGAAATAGAAAGGGATGAAACACTTTCAAATTCATTCTATGAAGCAAGTATCACACTGATAACAAAATCAGGTAAGGACACATAAAGGAAAGAAAACTATAGATCAGTATCCCTTATGACCTTAAATGAATTAAGCACTTTATTAAGAAGATTGTACATCATAACTAAGTTAATTTTATCCCAGGAATACAAAGATGGTTGAACATACATACACAAATCAGTAAGTGTAATTCATCACATAAATAAAATTAAGGACAAAAATCATTTAGTTATCTCAGATTCAGAGAAAGCTTTTGACAAAATTCAGCACCACTTCATAATAAAAACGCTGAAGAAACTAGGGATAGAAGGAACCTATCTCAATATCATAAAGGCTATATATGAAAAACCCAAAGCCAACATCATAGTGAATAGGAAAAAACTGAAAGTATTT